TTCCGGAGGGACTCGAGGGATTGGGGCAGGAATTCCCGAGGGATTTGGGCTGGAATTCCGGGAATTCCCGAGGGATTGGGGCAGGAATTCCGGGAATTCCCGAGGGATTGGGGCAGGAATTCCAGGAATTCCCGAGGGATCACCTTGATGTCGGCCCGGAGCTCCAGGAGCTGCTCCTCCGACATTCCCGGCGCCGCCTCCGTCAGCTCCCGCAGGGCCTCGGCCCGGCGCTGCCGCAGGGCCAGCAGCTCCACTGCGGGGAAATCCGGGAAAAAACGGGAATTAGGGATGGGAAAAACCCCGGGAATTCCAGCCCGGCGCTGCCGCAGGGCCAGCAGCTCCACTGCGGGGAAATCCGGGAAAAAACGGGAAAAAACGGGAATTAGGGATGGGAAAAACCCCGGGAATCGGGGGGAAAAACCCCGGGAATTGGGGGGAAAAAATGGGAATTAGGGATGGGAAAAACCCTGGGAATTGGGGGGAAAAAATGGGAATTGGGGATGGGAAAAACCCCGGGAATTGGGGGGAAAAAATGGGAATTGGGGATGGGAAAAACCCCGGGAATTGGGGGGAAAAACCCCGGGAATCGGGGGGAAAAAATGGGAATTAGGGATGGGAAAAACCCCGGGAATTGGGGGGAAAAACCCCGGGAATTGGGGGGAAAAAATGGGAATTAGGGGTGGGAAACCGGGAATTGGGGGAAAAAATCTGGGAGTTAGGGGAAAAAAATGGGAATTAGGGGAAAAAAAAACAGGAATTAGGGATGAGAAACTGGGAATTAGGGGAAAAACCCCTGGGAATTTGGGGAAAAACAACGGGAATTAGGGGAAAACCTGGGATTTGGGGAATTTTGGATGGAAAACTGGGAATTCTGGGTGGGAAATTGGGAATTCTGGGTGGGAAATTGGGAATTTTGGGTGGGAAATTGGGAATTTTGGGTGGGAAACTGGGAATTCTGGGTGGGAAATTGGGAATTCTGGGTGGGAAATTGGGAATTCTGGGTGGGAAATTGGGAATTTTGGGTGGGAAATTGGGAATTCTGGGTGGGAAATTGGGAATTCTGGGTGGGAAATTGGGAATTCTCTTCCCACCCTCGGAGGAATCCCGGGAATGGGGGGGATGGGAGGGAAATCCCGGGAATTTTGGGAATTTTCCTCACTTGCTTCCGCCTTGACTTTGTCCATCTCGGCCAGCAGAGCGACCTCCCGATCCATGAGGCTGCGGGAAAGAGGGAAAAACTGGGAAAAATGGGAAAAACTGGGGGAAAACTGGGAGAAACTGGGGGAAAATGGGAGGAAAACTAGGAAAAACTAGGAAAAACTGGGAAAAAATGGGGGGGAAATGGGGGTAAAAACTGGAAAACTGGGAAAAAATGGGAGGAAAACTGGGAAAACTGGGGGAAAACTGGGAAAATCTGGGAAAAAGGGGGGGAAAATTGGGAAAAACTGGGAAAAACTGGGGGAAAACTGGGAAAATCTGGGAAAAGGGAGAGGGGAAAAATGGGAATAAACGGGGAAAAGGGAGAGGGATGGGATGGGGGGAAAAGTGGGAAAAAATGGGGGAAAATGGGAAAAAAATGGGGGAAAATGGGGAAAAGGGAGAGGATTTGGGATGGAATGAGGGGAAAAATTGGGAAAAACTGGGAAAAATTGGGGAAAAAGGGGGGAAATGGGGGGGAAATGGGGGAAAATGGGGAAAAAATGGGAAAAAATAGGGAAGAGGGAGAGGATTAGGGATGGAATGGGGGGAAAAGTGGGAAAAGGGGAAGGGTTTAGGGCTGGAATGAGGAAAAACAGGGAAAAAATCTGGGAAAAGGGAAAAAAAACCAGGAAAAAACTGGAGAAAAACCTGGGAAAGGGGAGGAAAATGAGGGAAAAGGGAGGAATTTTTGGGCTGGGATGGGGAAAAGCCGGGAGAAAGGAGGAAGGGGAAGAGGGGAGGGAATTCCAGGCGGGAATTCCGGGCGGGAATCGCCGGCAGGTGGCGGCCGGAGCCGCGGGAAAATCTGGGAGAGGGAAAATCGGGAATTGGGGCTGGGAAGGAGGAGCAGGAGCAGGAATTCCTGCCCCAGATCCCGGAAAATTCCTCTTTTCCCAAAATTCCCACCCCCCCCCCCCCCCCGGGGGGCTCCAGGTGGGAATTCCCGCCCCAAATCCACAAAATTCCCCCCCAAAATTCCCGTTTTTCCCAGAGTTTCCCCATCCCAGGAATGAAGAATTCTCTGGGAATTCCATCCCAGACTTCCCAGCTGGGAATTCCTTCCCCAAATTCCCCAAAACTCCCCCCAAATTCCCATTTTTCCCACAGCTTCCCCATCCCAAAGCCCTGGAATTCCCGGAATTCCTGGATTTTGGGAATTTCTGGTCTCTCCAGACGCCCCATTCCCAGATAATTCCCGGATATTCCCGTTTATCCCGTTATTCCCATACCAGGCGTGGCTGTCTCTCAAGGCCCCATCCCAGAATTCCCAGAATTCCCGTTATTCCCAGTTATTATTCCCGGTTATTATTCCATACCAGGTGTGGCTGTCTCTGAACACCCCAGCATTCCCAGAATTCCCAGAATTCCCATTATTCCTGTTATTCCCATACCAGGCGTGGATATCACTGAAGGCCTCATCCCAGCATTCCCGTTATTCCCAGAATTCCCGTTATTCCCGGTTATTATTCCCATACCAGGTGTGGATATCGCTGAACGCCCCATCCCAGCATTCCCAGCATTCCCAGCATTCCCAGAATTCCCAGAATTCCCGTTATTCCCAGTTCCCATTCCCATACCAGGCGTGGATATCACTGAATGCCCCAGCCCATCCCAGCATTCCCAGAATTCCCAGAATTCCCGTTATTCCCGGTTATTATTCCCATACCAGGTGTGGATATCACTGAAGGCCTCATCCCAGCATTCCCAGCATTCCCAGCATTCCCAGCACTCCCAGCATTCCCAGAATTCCGTTTCCATTCCCGTTTTTCCCGTACCAGGCGTGGATGTCACTGAACGCCCCAGCCCATCCCAGCATTCCCAGCATTCCCAGCATTCCCAGCATTCCCGTTATTCCCAG